ATCTTCTTTATTTAGCACCCCCACTGCCCCCTCCCCGAACTCATCGGAAACACTTTCAGAAAAATGATCGAACCGTTGTTCCTACACTTCTTGACTTGTAAAAAATTCACTAATCGGAAATATCACTATCACATCATTCCCAAACCATTCGTCTAACATGTTGGTAAGAATTATCGAGATTCGGATGCGTTACGTGGGTAGAACGTGGAACGAAAGAGCGCGTGTATCCACGGTGGCAGGAAGCGGCTCCCAGGAAAGCGCCTCTAGGGTGTCATAACCCAGAGGGAATTTGATCCCACCCTGGATCACGAAACAAGAAAATCGTAGTCAAAGGCAGAGATAGCTCAGTGAATTACTTAGCTTCATTGGGTTCCATTTTGCGCACTGCTTACGCACAGTCGATGATATTGGAACCCAGTGAGGCTAATTAAGTCTTCCAAACAAGGTCAACCATCCGTTGGGCGATTCCTACCAAGTGGTACGTACATTAGCGGTCTAAAGTATTCGCCGAAACGGTTTTCAGTGCTTCTCTTTTTTTTGCCAGAAAAAATCAATGGTGGCCTCGAAAATTTTTTTCTTTTGAACATCCTGATTCTTCAAGGCTTGAGGATATAAAAACACTAGAAAACATAGTATCAATCTTTGGAGGGCGTTGCTCAAGCTCAAGCGAGAAAAAATAATTCACTAAAAATCGTTTCGACGAACATTTTCGACCGCTACTGCATTTTTTGAAATTGGTCTGCTTCTGGATACATAGGAAGTGGAGTTTTCTGAGGTTCAGGAGCGATTTTCACAAAATTTACAGAAATTTCAGAGATATTAATTACCGTTTTCCGTGGATTTAACCCATGCTCGATAGAAATTTTCAGATGTTGAAGGTAGGTTGGAAAAGAAGTTAGTTCTAGAAGCTGGAGCAATGATAAGAGAGTAAAATAAATTTGTGGAGATCTGTTCTGGGAGCGAGGATTGTGCTAACCCCAAAGGTTTTCCCAGCGCAAAGTTTAGCTCTGCTTCTATCCCTCTGTGGCTGATTGATTAGTTGAACTTCCACCAAACCTGAACAGAATATGGCAATTGTCGCACAATTCTCATTGTGGAACAAAGAACTGCCGAACCACGCGCCTTGGCGACTTTGAGTGGAAGCCGAATGCATGGCGCATGCCAAGAAGCTAATCTGAAAACTGCTCCAACGCCCTTCAAACTTCCTATCCACAAAGTTTCGTATCCAAGTGCTTTCAATCGGAACCAGTGGAAATACCAGTGGACAAATGCATAGGCGCATACTTAGGGATTGATCTAAAGACAGCTCATCGCCTTCCAAGCTTCCTCCCCACAAAGTTCCGAATGCGATTGATTTCAATCGGAACCAGCGAAAATAACACCGGACGAATGCATGGCGCACACTGAGGAACTAATCAGAAGACTGTTTCATTGCCTTTTGAACTTCCCACCTATGAAATTTCATATTTAAGTGACTTCAGTTGGAACCAGCGGAATTAACCCGGAATAAGCGCGAATAGTAATGAAGAATGCTCCTCATCTGTTGACCCAGGATTGCACGAGCCGGTCCAGGCCAATGTTCACACTTGAGAAATCAAAGAGCCCGTCTGCAAGGCGACTATCGATGGACGGCCCTGATACAACAGTGCAATCGGCCACGGGTGGCCCAGCGTACTCTGCGTCTCTGCTCGCCAACAGGGGACGAGTTGGCGCCTCTCGTCGTCTGCCGTCCACTTCAATCGTTTCAACTCGTCCGTCCGGCTGTTGTCGACTCTGCGCTATCTCGGCCGTATTCACTAACTGAAGACGAACTGGTGGAATTCAAATCCCACACCCCAATGGCATTGCCACCGCTTCCACATACCACCTATAAGCCGGTGAAGGCCATCTTCAAGCCTTCACAACAACGTGGACGGGATGTTGCTGTTTATGTACTGCCAGACGACCCTGAATTGTGCATGGAATTCAGTTTCAAGCGATTCAACACCGCAGAAACCATCGCCACTTACGTTTGTGTGGCTTGCCGAGCGCTGAAGGATCGAGCACCGAGGCTTTATGGTGTTGTGCCGATCGTCAGGAATTCAGGATGGCTATTTCTTGAGCGACCCAACTCTGCCGGAGCATCCGCATTTCTGCGAACCACGGAATTATGCTCGATCAATGATGCGACGAGAGATCATCGCAAAATTCAACGAAATCAGAGAAAGTATAACCGATGGTACACCTGAAGAAGTGGAGGAGGACCTTCTTCAGGCCATCAACAAGCCGGAATATGGTGAGTTATTTGTTTTTACTATTACCACTAAGAAGTTATAAAGTTAAGGATTAGGTACCTGGGTGATGGCGTCCGTTTTCAGCCCATTTTGGTGAAGAAGAACGTCAGGAGATGGTGAAGCAGTTGGTGATGGGACATATTGGTGGACGAGATACCCTGAGAAGTATGATCCGTACGAATAAACGAGCAAAACGACGACGAGTTCAATTCGAGTACCCCGAAGATGCCCCACCACCAACCCCTATGCTGATTTTCCCGAATGCAAAAAGGGAGCATTCGGACGCCCGACCACCCCATTTTCCCGTCCATCCCTGCTACGCACCGGCGCCGCCACCGCCATTGCTGCCGCCGCCGTCGACCCCACCACGGTTCGTATCGATTTCTGCATTTTCTTTGCGTCTCTTTCTTTTCTTTATTGAAATTGGACTTCATTCATGCATGGGCTCCTTTGAATTGTTTACTTTCAATATTTCAGTTCGTAAATGTTATTTATTCTTATGCTGTGTGTCAGAAGGCCCTGTGAGTGCCTTATGTTCGATGAATCCACCCGAAACCTGACCAACACGTGAAAAGCTTTTCCTTTTGGAACATTTTTCACATGTTCTGAAAACCGTTGAAGAGAAATGATGCATTATGTACTATTCTTGCAGGCGCCAAATACAGGGAGGGCAGGGTGAGTCAACATTGAGGGTTCCGCGCTAGTCTCTGTGGAAAGTGTTTGCAGTTGTTTGGAGTTGACAATGTAGTTCCGGAAGTGGAGCAGAATTCAGGGTTAGATTAGAGTGCAAAGTTTTCAGGATGTTTTGTGTGTATTACTAAGGAGTTTACAGAATATACACTTTTTAGTGAATGGTGGGCTTAAGCTGGTATCATAGTCCGCGATCCGTCGCAGGTTCGCGGCGCCATTCGCGAGTTGCGCGATGTCAGATTCGTAAAATTGCCGCCATTTTAGACATTTGAAACACTGGATATGATAACAAGTAAATCACCAATGAACAGTCTCAGTACAGCCATACCCACCAAGCAGAAAGCAGGCGCACCCTGCAGTATTGGTCAGGTTTTTGTGATTTCTGTGACCCGTCGCGTGAATCGCGCGAAACCTACAACGAATCACGGACTCCTGACACCAGCCTGAGGTGGTTGTACTAGCCAAATTTCCACGACACGTGTCAGGATACGAGAGAGCATGAAAATCTTCTCAAAAAGTGCAGTTTCGCTGCTTTTCATCTAACATTTACAGAGCGAAATATTGTCTTCTGTTTTTGACGCCATGTCGTGACGACTATAATGACGTGAATGCGCTTGTCAAGGAGGATCTCTTCACCCCTTTCTTAGTGTTGCTGTGAGGATTCGCTCCTATCTTGTCTTAGGCCCCATTCATAGATCGCGGTTAATGCGATTAGCGATTATGCTGACAGGAAACATACGTATCGATCTAAAATTTGCCGATTACGCGATAAAGCGATTTGACGATTTGGCGGTTATGTTCAAAGGATAAGGGTGCACATTGAGAACTGAGGCCGCCCAATAACCATTCGTCGATGCGATATGTGGACGATACTTCAGTCGATACTCAGGGTGTGGTTCACTAGGACAGAAAGCGACTTTTTCGCGTTTCGCAGCGCGAAACATTTTTCGCTGCGGGAACCTCAGGTCCACCGCTGATCATCAGTGGACCCGAGGTTCCCGCAGCGAATCATCAGTGGACCCGAGATTCCCGCAACGAACAATGTTTCGCGCTGCGAAACGCGAAAAAGTCGCTTTCTGTCCTAGTGAACCACACCCGATACTCATATACTCCTTTCAACATAATCGCTATATCGCCAAATCGTCAAATAGCATTAACCGCGATCTATGAACGGGGCCTTAGCGGTGTGTAGGCCTGGTTCCGGTACTTAATTATTTTTTATGTAAGGCTGTGTGATATTGTATGGGCTTGACTTTTGTGGTTAGATGATACTCTGCCAGGAAAGTATTTCAATTCCCCATGGAAGTTTGAATGGAGACGTGGGTATATCGATACTGCCGAGAATGATAGTTGCAAATATGGAGAACAAAACTGCCATGTGTACTTTCCTTGTAAGTTGGAAATGGACGAAATCGGTAGGGATTATAGCGTCTGCATGAAGCGAGCTAATTTGTCCGGAATGTTACTCTTGATTTTCTCTGAATGTCTACAAAGATAAATAATGGTCCTATAACGAATGTGCCATTCTATTTGACAGGGACGCCTTCTGGTGCCGGTTTGGGTTTGTTTTGTTTTTCTGCTTCAGATTTTAGTTCGTTTAGTTTTTTGCTGCATTTTCTGGAACCTCTAACGCTCACAACTTGCTTGAAAAGTCCATTTAGCAGTTTTGGTCTCCATATTTCTAATCCATATTTGGTCAGTATTCTTGACCATTCCATTTTACCTAGGTCTCCATCCAAAGCTTTATTTGGAATTGAGAGTCTCTCAGATCAGAACCCTTACGTTTTGATTGGAAACAAGCGGCAGTTTCCAGAGAATATGTGGCATAGTGGCAGAACGCGACGTCCATTGTAGCGCCCGAACTCTGCCTTTGTGTGTTTTGTGCGTTGTATGCAACATCCACATGTAAAACGCTTGTTTTCACAAAGCAGAGTATTATAACAGGCCGGTAGGGTAGAATAAGCAGCACACGTTCTGTAACGGTGCCACATACGCAATTCTGGATACATTGAAATAGGCTTGAAATTGTACCAGTTTATAAAATTAAAGGGGGAAACTGCCTTCAAAGACTCAGCTTTTTTCCTAGCGCCCGAACGATATGATTCTTATTCGCTTCATGTATCTTGTCATTTGTGCCAGGATAATTGCCAAGAAAGACGAGACTA